TGCCTTGGGTTGTGGTATAAAAAAGCAAGGTTGACTGACTTTAATAACCTTCAAAATGTAATATGCACTTGGAGATATTCTGTCTAGGCTGTGGAATTGCTATAAGGAAATGCAACTTATAAATAAAAACAGAGAGAAGATTTACTTAGCATTCCAAAATTTAGATTGGTAAAAATGTACTCTCCTTCGTCTTAAGCTACAGTGGAACTGGGTTAATCAGTAGGAAAGCCAGTGATAATGGATTTTATCTTGGTGTTACAGGAAGATGAAAATCTGGCCTCAATTAAAATAGAGACATAAACCAGTTAATACTATTCTTTCGTGCATCATGAATTGCTTAGTTTGTTTAATAATAACACACTCAAAATACAGCTGGGAAAGTAAGCATTTCAGGTTTTTCAGGCCGGTTAGCAGTAGGCAAATGAACAATGGCTAGATGTAAAATCTAGTACATCAGTATGACACACTTGTAAAGAACAGATGGTCTGAGCACTGGACCAAAGCATTTTCATTTCATAACTTGTGAGACAGTTTAAGCAACAGTTGCCTAGCTTGCAGGTTTCACCTACAGCTTCCTTCAGACATGGAAATTTAACAGAAATCACTTGTGAGCCTACCCAGGAATGCCAGAAGAATTATACTCAGTCAGTCTGGCAGGCTGCAGAGGTGAGTTCTAAAGCAGTGCTTGGTCAATAACTAAATCCAGGAGCAGTTGACCTAGAGAGCTGCTCACAACCTGTGCCTGGACACACACATTTCCTGTGCTGAACCTTCCTATTAGATTTAGACCATGAGAGGTAAAGACCATGAGCATAAAGATATGCAAATTAGGAAATTCTGTGTCCCAGAGCCCACCAGAAAGGGTGAACATATAAATTCCATTAACATCAAGTGGAAAGGGTCTGCTTCTTTGCAATAAAGTCTATTAGAAAATTCCCAGGCAGAAAAAAAAGTCTCTCTTACTTGCAGATGCTATAATCGTATGTTTCCATGGAAACCTCCTTCTCTCCTGATATCTCCAGTGACAGCTATGCACGGGAGGCATCACTGGCAAAAAACCATGCACACATCCTGATCTGGGATCTCAATGGAAGAAGGCTTGAGGTTTTTTTTTAATCTTTTTCTGTGGTGAATGGTATTTGGCACGGGGAAAGAGCAGCTTTGCATCCTGACACATCTCAGGTTGCTAACTGCTTTCTATACTGTTCTCACAGTGCATTACAGTCCTAATCTTGGTTCTTATCCCAGTTGGAACAAATGTAGTAGGTGACAGTGATAAGGGAGCAGTGAATGGGTAAATAAAATGATCACCTGCCCAAGGTACAGTTTCAGATTTTTTTTCTATCATCTGATATTTTTATTATCTTTGAAAAGAACTTTTCTTTCCCATCTCACTCCCTTAATTCATCAGTTGGGTTTTGGGTCATTGTTGACATTCCAAAACAAACAAAAAAAAATTCAGAGGAAAGAAGCTTGACACACATAGGAATGAAAAGGGATTTTACTATGCTTTGACCCTGGAAAAATCATGCATAATCAACAGAGTTGGGAAATTAAGTTTGATAAGCAGATGAATCAACTAAAACTGAAAATAAACTGTCCTGTATTATTTGCAAAATTCACCCAGTAATAACATTCAGTAATAAATACGTAACACCTAGGTAAATACCAACAAATCTAGCTGCATCTGAATGAGTACAAAGGAAAAATAAGTTGGTAGAGTGAGATCTAACACTTATACAGTTCACACTGCCTTTGCTGTGCGTAGAATTCAGGTAGAATAGGTTCCTTCCAAGGTCATTTACAATGAAAGAAAGAAAATTGCTGATTGATTCTACTTTCTGGTTTCCAAACAAATATACTAAATCATGCCTCAGATTTGTTTCAGATCACCTTTGGTTTAACAGTTCTTCACAGCTACAATTTCATTTTCTACATCTTACTTGCTAAGGGAGAGATGCTATTGTCCAGGCTGTCAAGCATAGATTTCTTTAGGCTTTCATTTAACGTCATAAATTATCAGCATAATTTTCTTGGCTACAGTGAAAAGTTAATCTGACAGGAATTTTCTTGCTTTGTATTATTTTACCCTGAGCTCCCTTTCTGAATACGTATCTGTGATGGTGGAGAAAACAGCTTCTGTGTGAGATATGGGAAGCACACTTTGAATATTGAGGATTAAAGCTTCTATATAGGCTTTCTGTATAAGAAAGAAATCCAAATTTCAGGTATTGTTATAGCAGTCTATATTTTAAATTTGAGTTTGTACTTTCGCACGGAATACTAATTATGCACATGAAAATAAGCACAAATTGAGCCATAACCTTTCAATTTCAATATACCAGTAATATTCCAACTCAGCAAAGTACTACGATGTGTGTACTCAAGGCAAAAGACTTGTAGCGTGAGAGTGGTCTGCTTTGCCCTTCATGAAATAATGTGGCTGAATTACAGAGTAATGAACAACAGCAAGTGGTAAAATCTGGTATCTTGGCTGAGTGTCTTCCCTCCCTCCCTCCATGCAAGCTGTCACAAAAGATGGAAAATAGGATTAACTCGTGTGGCTAGAGAAGATGTCTAAGTTCAGTTTGTATCAGTCAAAATTCCTGTACTTTTCTCATATTCTGTTGATATCAGATGCTTTGGTTTCTTCAGATGTACGATACCAGAAGACTTTTCTATAATGAAATATACCCAAAAACTGCTTGAAATGAGTGGAGGGCCTTGTGTTGGTGCCAGTGATCAGGGTGAGGAGATGCTGATTGGACTATTTTAAGGAATAGACTTTAGTCATTTAATGAAGTTTGGAGTATTTAGTAGTGAAAAAGCATTTGTTGTGAAGATGTGTTAGAACTCATGGATCTGTGAGCCAGATGCTGTAATGTCTTAATGGGCTCCAGAACAAGTTGCTGTCTGAGGAAAGCTTCTTATTTCCATCCAGGCACTCATTTCCATCCTCACTGATGGAATGAGATGCTTTTTGGTAGCAGGGACAACTACTCTAGTTCAGACTTATTTGAGTCATTATGAGACACGTTGCTCTACACATTCAAACTTTTGCTTTTAAACTTTGTGTTCAGAAGTGGCAAAAGGTTGTGTTTCTTACCTACTCTGTGGTTATTTTTTCATGTGAATTTCAGTTTTAACATAATTGATGCTCTGACCACTGGGGTATTTCTGGAGTTAGTTAAATGATTTTTTTTTCTGATGACTGTGGTATTCAAGATCAAGGGATTAACAGATCTCATCCTCTCAAATACTGTGCTTATTCTAAAATTAGAGAGGAAAACAAGCTGTCCTGTAGTTATGAAATCTCAACCGGTTTTTTATCACAGAATGAATTAATCATCAGCCTAGCCTATTAAGAATAAGCTTCTGTATGAAGCTGCTTACAAAGTTGTAATGGTACTTCAGCAATCTTTGGTTCCTGTGTTTAGCAGGAACCTTTTAATGGTCTGACTGTAAAACTTATGTCAGCAAATATATGCGTTATGGCTTTAAACATTATTTTGGGGAAACAAGACTTTCTATTTAAGACTTTCCTATTTAATGGTCATTCTTTTCTCTGTGGCTACATAAAAACTGTTTTTGAGGCAACAGTTCTTTTCCTACTGCTTTCACATGGGATATTTCTACTGCCCAGCCCCTGGGGAAAGTTGTATGATGAGCTACATTAGCACTGTAGGATCTAACGCAAGTTAGGTCCCCTCCTGACATAATTATATAAAACGTGAGTTCTCCTAGCCTGAATGCAATGCAAGGACAACACAACATCCACTATCTAGGAGGATCAGGACACAGAGTATGTAAACCCTGGAGAGAGTTCAGTAAGACACATGAGAAGAGTGTGTTTACAAAAGGAGCAGAGGAGGGTTGTCGTACCTGGCATCAGAAACAAGTACATTTTGGTAGGAAAAATGGTTCTCTGGCCTGCAAGGGTCAGGTTTTCTTGCCCTTTCCAATGTAGCAAAAACGTGTGCTATAGGCAACGTTCCTTGCCATACCGGTATAGCACAAGTGAATGACAGCATGCATGAAAGATAATGACAACATATCCATTGAAATATTACTGTGACAGCCTACAGGAAATGCAACAGGGAGACAATTTGTCCATTAATGTTACTGGTTACTTGTTTCTTCCCTCAGAGAGAAGTGAGTCATACAGCAAGGAAAACATAATCCATTTAATGAAGAAAGCCGATGCACATATCCCTAGGCGGCACAAGCTTTTCTGAGCGCAGAAATCCATAATGGTGGGCTCAGCAGTAGAGAGATGAAAGATCCATTGCCAACTCCCTGGTGCCCTTTCATATTTCTTATTTCTTGTACCACTCATCTGCAGCCCTGTTCTGGATGCAATTTAATTCTGTTTACTTTATTGAATGGCTTTGAAAAGCTAAACAGATAATGTCACCTTTGCAGCTTAGTGAGAAGTTATGCACAGAAAGTAAAACTTGAAATCTGCCTTGTCACTTGTATTGCAGTGTTTATTCCAGTCCTGCTACTCCTGTCTTTCTTTCCTACCATGAACTAGCTTGATTTTGCCGTGAGTGGGAAAACCTTCAAAAGCTTATGAAAAGCAAATGGTCTTTGCTTGATGACCTGACTGTAAAGAAAGTGCAGTGCACTCCGCAGAGCTCTTGCTTTCTGTGGGGGAGCACTGGGCAGGGTTCCACAGAGCAAAAAAAGAAAAACAGAAAATCCCAGTGTAAGACAAATCTTAAACCTACCTCAGCTTACTCTGCAGACTTCTTAAAGGCCAATGTAGTTCAGTTTAGAAGTTTTAGAACTTCACAAAGACAATTCTATTCACTTTGTTCTAATAAGGAATGTCAGAAGAGTTTATTTGTGATTTCTAAAATACTTTTTCAGCTCTCTGTCAATCTTTGCCTAGTGAAGGAATCAATATATTACAAAATCCAGACAGTGGATTAAATTAAATCAATTCTCATCCGAAAATTGATGCTTAAAAACTTTTGTGATCTGTCTTCCAATTTCAGATAAACAGAAATTCTTGGCTCGGCAAGTCAAACTTGTATTCGCTAGATACTCTGTCCATGGCCAGGGATTCGAAGTGTTTCAGCACCATCGGTAAGTACAACTGAAATATCTCTGCAGACGTTTTTTCAGATTTCTCACAGAAAGTACGTGGCTGTAAGGAACAGCCAAGAAACAATGAGGAAAAACTCTTTTTCTGTCTCTGCTGGACTCATGACAGCTGATGAGCTCTGGATCAAAAGAAGGAAAAAAATCCACCATTTTCCTTTTGCTTTTCATATTGAAATTGGAAACTGCTGTTCACCACAGAACTTTTTAGAGTTATTACCAGAGTAACTTATGGTACTGTCTTAACAGTGTGGAGGACTTGCACCTATACATTCTGTCGTCACATTACTTCATACATGTCTCCTTTCTACTCACAGTGTTGCTGGTGCTTTAGACCATGAGGTAGTTGCAGCCCTGATCTGGCAGAGATTAAGGGAGAGTTACACTGTTAGGACTTCTTCCTCTTCATTTATCAGAGGGCTGGAGCACCTCTCCATGAAGAAAGTTTTAACAAACTGGAATTAGAGAATTCTAATTTTTCTCTTCTGGAGAAGAGACTCTTGTGAGGGAATGTAGTGCTGGGACAAGAGAGAATGACTTTAAACTAAAGAGGGAAGATTTATGTTAGATGTTAAGAGGAAAGTCATTACTCAGAGTGTGGTGAGGCACTGGCATAGGTTACCAAGAGAGGCTGTGGATGCCCCATTCCTTGAGGAGCTTGAGGCCAGGTTGGATGGGTCCCTGGGCAGCCTGAGCTTGTGGCAGTAAGATGGGGCTGGGTGGGTTTTAAGGTCCCTTCCATCCTAAGCCATTCTGTTATTCTGTGGTTCTACATGTTGAATTTCACTGTGCATCACATGTGATCTTGGCACATGCAGGTTTGTCCTAGATTTCAAACATTCCTACTATATACTGGGCTGCTAGATATTTGATAAGTCCAGGCCGGTGCACTACAAAGATTGTAGGAGGATTAATATTAAAGCTGTGTAGTCTTCCATGGTAAATCTTTACTGTGCATTGTGCTTTGGTAGAGTCTGGAAGTGGCAACATTCATGCTTTGCACGCTTCTCTGTTGCACAAATAAATCCATCAGACACCTGGGGAGTCTGACTCTTTCTTTGTTTATTCACTCATGGGAAAATTGACAAGCAGATCAAACAAAGGGCTGTATGAACTTGTTCTGCTAATGCCGAGACAAGGTACTCAACTAACTATTGTGTTACGCCTTTTTCTTGTTTTTTTGAAAGTAGTTGGGAAACAAGAGGAAAAACAAGCTTGCCTACTGTATGAAAAGTCAGAGTTGTTGACAGATACATGGACAGGCAAAATTGCAAGGGTGAAATTAATTTTGGCAAAAAAATGGAAGAGCTAGTCCAGGAAAAGATAAGGTGATTTTTTTTTTTCCCCAGTAATTTGTTGAAACAAAATAAGCGCTTGAGAATTTGAAAAAATAAAGTAGAATTTTAAAATATATGTATTACCTAAATATACATACCTATACCTAAATACCACCTTTTTTTTAGTATTCAATGTTTTCGCTTATTTCTATGTTCTGTAATTCATGTAGTTATTATCATTTTGACTTTTACAAATTATCAAATGTTACACAGCTTCAGATAGTTGAGTAAACTTTTGCAACTGTATGTCAGGTAGACACTGACATCCCCATGAAGAGACAGACAGACGGGGGCATAAAAATGTCAAAAGAAAGTTTGAACTGAAAAAGGGAATTTTGAGAAAGGGGACATCAATGAAGGAAGATCAGAGAGGGGTTTTTAAAAAGAGTAGAGAGAAAGAAGAGGAAAGCAGCTGCTGAGGCCCACACGGGGAAAGGCTGTTTGCAAAGGCTCACAGGTGAGGTGCTAGGCAGTAGCTGCTGTCTGTGGTTTGAGTAAGTGCTATTGGTCTGACACAAGAAAGGGAAGTGAATGTGGAAATGAATGTGAAGGAAGTGAACGCTTCTCCAGTGCTGCCAGAATTGTGTATTAATATCCTATTTGACTGCTGCTGTTTGAGCATGCTGAACTCTGCTTTTGTATACCTGGCATAGTCCTGATCTCCAGGATGAAAATTGTGTAAAATGGAGAGCCTGTTCACATTCAAAGAAATGAGGTCCTTAGTTTCCTAGGGTCTTTTGAAACTGGAACTTAAGTCAGCTACAGCCATCAAGCTTGATCTTTAGCATGCCAGTAGATCTGCAACAGAGCTTTCTGTGCGATTCCTCCTTACCCCACATGCAGTATTCTTCTTTGTGTGGCTGGCTTGGAGATGGTTTATTCAGCATTTTCCATATTGACTGAAAACCTGTTATGTTCTACAAGAGCAAAAACTTTTAAACATGCATAACTTCTTTATCAAAGAGGACCATTTCTGCAGAAGCTCTACATTAAGCACTCATTTTGCCTGGAATTGTATCGGTGCTCTGCCATTTTATCCAAGCTGCATAGGAGATGAATACTTGCTAGTTCAATTTTAATGAAACAGAAGTAAGAGCTAAACATGACAGGCTGTATCCTGTAAGAATGTAGTGTTTTTAATAGACAGTTCATTGCAGTTAATATCATTCCTTCAGGTGGAAAGCAGGTCTTATGTTTGCCAAGTTTTGCCGTAGTGGATGTCTGGTGTTGCCCACTATGACTCAATGAAACTCTGCATTCTTTTTTTTTCCACATACTGGAAGGGAGAGCTGCATGAAACTGCCAGATTCTCTGAATCCTAGCCCATTCTTGTGTGAGGTTTGGTAACATGATTTGCCTGAAAAGTTACCCTGAGTAAACATGCAAGACAGGTGAGCAACCTATTTTTGAAAGACATATTTTCGGTAGACTACATCAAAGCCATGGAGGGACGAAGGTGCTGCGCTGTTGAACCAGGCGGCTCTTGGGTAAACAGCACTTTTGCAAATCACTTTTATCATTGTATAGTGAAACAGTACACTCGGTTCTTCATTTACAGCATGTTTCTCTCTCTCCTTTGCTTTCAGCTCCACTTCAGGGCTATTTGAGCCTGACAGCTGGTTTTGTTTTGTTTTGTTTTTTATTTCACTTTTTTCTCCTCCCTGTGAAATTCTAACATACTAGTTTCAAAGAAAGGCATCTGTTACCTTTAGCGTGGAGCAGTAGTGAAACGAACTGACTGCTGCTCTGTGCCTTTGGAATAGTTTTTCTTTAGTTTATCTGCTACTTTTATGAGTCCGGATAAAGGCTTTCCGCATCACAGCTGCTCATGAGCTTTCTATTTCTTCTGCTGGGAGATTAATTGAAATAAAATAAACTTAAAATCTCAGCCTGACTGCAGAGTAATATATACCACAGAATTATGAGCTGCAGTGTCATGCAATGCCTGATCGCTTGCAATATCGTGTCTCATTGTGAAGATACTTAACTGGGAAGATGCTGAAATGTTGTCAGGGCTGCACAAAGTAACGTTATTAAAACATATTTGTTTTATAAAAGGAAGTTAACATACCACCAATGGCAAGATTTTCTTTCTTTAAACTGCAAGGGGAAAAAAAGGTGGAGAAAGAAATAGGAAAAAATTGTGATGATTCATATTTTGTTTTTTTTTTTTTTTTTAAACTATCAAAGTTTCCTCAGGTTGAAATTTAAAATATCAGCCTACTGCTCAGTTTTCCATGTGGAAACTTTTTATTTGAAACATTTTTTACTTAGATACGGAGAACTGGTAGCTGTTCTTCTGGGTTCAACTAACTGATTACCTGTTTGGGCTTGTGGCTCTGAAAGTAAATTATTTTGTGGTAAAAAATGTTGTTTGTACAGCACCTTGCGAATAGAGACTGTTCTCTATGCTTGGAATTCCTGAATGTGACAGCAAAATAAGAGTGTAAATGTTAAGGTTGTTCATAGGAGATGTGTGGAGTGTAAAACCTGTATTCCCAGCGGCATTCAAGGCCAGGTTGGATGGGATCCTGGGCAGCCTGATGTAGTGGTTGGCAACCCTGTTAAAGGCAGGAGGGTGGAACTGGACGACCTTTAAGATTCCCTTCAACCTAAGCCATTCTGTGATTATTCCATTCTGACTCTGCTCTGTTGAGCCTTATTATCATTTTTCAACCCATCTCCTACAGCCCCCCATCCTCACTGCAGTACAGGATTTACTATTTCTCTTCATCCTCCTTCCCCATTCTTTCAAGCTATGAATGAACTTCTGCCCCCTCCTCTGCTGCCCAGAGAAAGCCTGCAAGGAAAGTTAGTGCTTCCATGGCGTGGCTGAGGGTCTTTGTTTACAGCATGCTTCTGTCTTCAACACATTTAATCTCCCAAATCCTAGCTTGTGTATAATGGAATGGGGCATCTTTATGAATTAGTCCGATCTCATGCAGTTCACATCTGAGTGATTAAAGCGGAGTATCTCAATTTGATTTAGCACTGTGAGCAAACACCAGTACAGAGAGGAGCAATCTATATTTTTCAATTGTTTTTTGTGGTAAATGGAGAAGGAAGTGCTGCTCTGCCCTGCTATGAATGTCTTCCCTAGGTCTAAATCCTCTTCAGTTTTCTATTTACATGCAGGAAATCTTTTTGTTCTCCTTAGCTTATCCTTGGCCCTATTCACATTGGTAATTCTGCCCTCCAGCAAAAAATGTCTAGAAAAATTTACCTATCAAATTTCATTTTATCTGTTCGTAGCTAAATTCCTTCTTTTTGGAAGATCCTAGTGTTTGAAGCTCAGAACAACTATGAAATCACATCTGTATTGGTGGGTAAAAATCTAAACAGACAGGCAGAAGAAGCTTTTTGAATTTTAGGTAGGAGAACTCTTCCTTTCTGCTGTGGAGTAAAAAGTTGGATTTTCAGGGAAGGAGTCAATTTTATCTTATTTTATTTTTACGTTTAAATTTTTTACTCCTGTTGGATAGAGAAGGAAATTAGTCTAACCTTGTTTTTCTAGTGATTAATTTTCTTTCATATTGAAATGACTTACAATAAGCAATTGTTATTTTCAGGTCAAATATTTGGATCTAAGGTTCTGGACTATTTAATTGTCAAGTTCTAATCTATTATGACTAGTACAGACAGCCTTGA